AAAATATATCCTTGATTACTTTAGGTAATATCAAGCCTCACGCAAAAGTTATAAAGCCTAAAGCCGTCTTCTCACCTTAATGATGCTTATGAAGTTCTAGCCTTCCCGATTTAGCTCCGGCGATACTCCGGCGAACTTCGGAAAACTCCAGTGACGATTCTGGCGACCCTTTCAACTCCTTGAAAGTCCCTTGAATACCTTAGGCAAGTTAATAAAATGGTTTTATCATCAAAAACCCCATACTAATACAAATAACCTCTAAGAGGTTATTTTCCGGTGAACCGGTCACTTTGGCTTCTAAGTCCGTTCTTGGACTTAGAACTGCCTTCGAACCCCTCATTCTACACTTCTAAACATGTAGAACAATACTAGGGGTCCTTCATATGATATATGGGTCATATGGTATATAAGAAGTTAAGGAAAAGTTGTTACACGGTTATTACCTTGATTCTTCACACTTTTTCTAGCTTTTCCTTTCTTTAATCCTCCTTAGACTTCCTTTTCTTTCTTCCTTGAGCTTGGTTCGTATGGCAATGGAGGAAATGAAGATTTGCAGAGCTTCTCTCTCAAAATTAATTGGGTTGGTCGAGCATATGGGCTAAGGGGGGAAGGACATGGCTCTATTTTGGCTTATACCTCAATGATAGCAAAAGTATGGCCCTACCTTGTCCTTTTGATGCTAAAACACTCAAGTCAGCCCCTTCCCTTCAACAACCCTGCCATTTGGCCGCCCAAGCCCATGCCTTGTCTCAAATAATTTCGTGGAGTGACCCCCACTCATGTGGGAGGTCATCCCTTTATGTCCTGATGTGTACAATCGGCCCCGAAAGTTGTATTTCCCAGACTATTTTAATTATACTTTATTTTATCGGGTCAAATAAAATATGACACATGTTCTCCATCATTATTGGGACTTATAATGAATATACATTCCTCAACTTTAATTTAGAAGTCTCTGAAATTCCTTTTCAGGCTGTTATATGATAAATTGCCGATACTAATAATCGGCCTCGTCTGACCAACCGGTCAACCCTATACCTTTGACACGGCCCAAATTGGATATCCACCACCATAAACATATTATCTAGGCCAAGATGAATATAATATGTGGTCCCGATAATATCGGGCGGCCCCCACTTCTGGTGTGGGCCCCACGTGAATTTTACTATTCACCTAAAAGAAATGATAAAAATTTACAATCACGTAAAATGCGTTTACTCATTTCTCAGGGTTCAATACATGATTTAATAAAGTACAAATACTTGGGGGTGGTTTTACATCAAATGTCTTGCACTGTACTTCTAGGCTCATCCGGTGACAATCTATACAACACAGCCGCGCGCCACTATCTTGAAGAATTCAATGGCCAACGGGGGAATCACCAAGTTGTCCTTGATGATCAGACAATACAATGTGGAAGGACAGGCTTTTGCTGATTTCATTGTGGAGTGCATAGAGGAAAAATCCCCGGACGAGAACGATTTTGACAATTGGTGGGAAATGTACACCGATGGGGCCTCCAATGCACGAGGATGGGGGTAGGAGCAGTCATCACCTCACCCAGGGCTTCAAAGCTTACCATGAAATGAAATTTGACATCAAGGTCACGAACAATGAAGAAGATTACGAGGCCCTCATAGTCGGTCTGAAATATGGAAAAGCACTTGGAGCAGCTCGTCTCAAGGTCAGGATGGATAGTCAGCTCGTAGTAACCCAGATGAATGGCATGGCTGAGACCTAAGAAAAACAGATGAAGGCCTACAAGGAACTGACGGGGGAACAGACCGCACAGTTCAAACAGGTGGTCTTGGATCAGGTATCCCGGGTGGAGAATGCTAAGGCTGATATATTGTCCAAATTAGGGAACCCTCCACCCGAAGATCAGATGGCGGCCATCTCCGATTACCTCAGGAAATTCACCCGGCAGGAGCTGTTACTTCGGCCGGTGCCCGAAACTATCCAAGTGGAAGCCATCTCCTTTGCGGAACCAAGCTGGTTGGACGAGATAACTGGATATCTCAAAGATGGGACCCTTCCCCCACCACCAACAGGGGGCGTGGGGAAGGCGGCATGGATCAAGAGATGTGCCCCGGACCCTTGCGGAACCAAGTTGGTTGGACAGGATGATTGGATAACTCATAGATGGACAACTATACAAGAAGACGTTCGGTGGCCCATATCTCAGATGCTACCGCTGAGCTTGGGAACAACCATGATCGAGGAGATCCACGAAGGAATATGCTCAAGTCATCAGGGGCCTCGGACCCTGGCAAGGAAAATCTTTTTACAAGGGTACTACTTGCTGATCATCCAACAAGATTGCTTTAACCATACCTAGAAGTGTGCGGTGTGCCAGCAGTATGCCCTGATCCCTGAACATCCGGCCAGTTACTACTCCCCAATGACTATAGCATTACCATTTACCAGATGGAGGATTGACCTGCTCGGGCCACTACTTAAGACGAATGGAGGACGGAAGTTTGTGATCATAGCCATTGATTATTTTACCAAGTGGGTAGAGGTCGAGCCCTTGGCCACCATCACCGAATTCCAGTGCCAACGCTTCATTTGGCAGAACTTCCTATGCCGCTTCGGAGTCCCAGAATAGAACATCACAGATAACGGCCGACAGTTCGTCAACAAGAGTTTCAAAGGTTTTCTTCTTGAATGGGGAATCAAGCACTCTAAGGCCTCAGTGGCATACCCCCAGACAAACAGTCAGGTGGAGAACATGAACCGAACCATCATGGATGGTATAAAAAAGAAACTTGAGGATTATGCTTCCACCTGGCAAGAGCAATTGAACTATGTTCTGTGGACGTACAGAACGACTCCAAAGACGGCCACAAGCGAAACTCCATTGCTGGTCCTGAGTCACATTACAATGCACTATCGGCCTGAACAGAACGAGGCAAATCTCTGTGCGGAACTCCACTTCATAGAGGAGCAAAGGGACCTTGTCACACGTCGGATGAAAGAATATCACAGAGCCACCCAACGCTACTTCAACAAAGCAATTAAGGTCAATGTCGTTGAGGCCGGTACCTCGTGCCGAGGAAGCGGGAAAAGAGCAAGCCGCTCGAGGGTGGCAAAATGGCCAAAAACTGGGAAGGGCCATACCGAGTGACAAGGAAGTTTGCACATGGAACATTCCTACTACAAACAATGGAAGGAGGTGCAGCGGGCATGTGGAATGTCGAACACTTGAAGAAATTTTATCAATGAACGACCGTCCAACCACATTCACCCCCCTAAAAAGGGCGGAGGGGAGACATAACTGACGAAGCTTGGGTGCTCCAGATCCGGTTGCTGACCGTGGACGAGGGGTGTCCAGTCCTTGGTTAAATCACCAAGTCCCGAATCTGGTTCGTCTCTATGGGACGGGCTGAGGACTTGCTGGTAAGGACGTTGGGCGAACACACATGGGTCCTAGTGCAGCTCGGCCAAAATGACATTGCTAAGGACTCGCTGGTTATAGCATGGAACGAAGTTGGGTGCTCCGGATCCGGTTGCTGACCATGGACGAGGGGTGTCCAGTTCTTGGTTGAATCACCAACTCCCGAATCCGGTTCGTCTCTGTGGGACGGGTTGAGGACTTTAATGGTAAGACTGCTAGGCGAACACGCGCGGGTCGTAGTGCAGCTTGGACAAAATGGCATTGCTGAGGACTCGTTGGTTATAGCGTGGAACGAACTTGGGTGCTCTGGATCCGGTTGCTGACCGTGGACGAGGGGTGTCTAGTCGTTGGTTGAACCACCAAGTCTCGAATCCCGTTCGTCTCTGTGGGACGGGCTGAGGACCTTCTGGTAAGGCCATTGGGCGAACACACGCGGGTCCTAGTGCAGCTCGGCCAAAACCGCATTGCTGAGGACTCGCTGGTTATAACATGGACGAACGAAAAAGAAGAAGAAAGAGCCAGTGGAAGCACATGAACGAACGAAGAAAGAATGTTCTTTTATTCTTCGGCTCTACTGGCCGGAAAAATACAATGGTACAATACAAACAACAAGGAGGAACATGACCTAGGCTTGGCCGCCGCCCGGCTCGGTGCCCTTGGGAGTTGCATCTTGCTTCGCCTCGATTTGCTTCAGGGCTTCTTCATAAGCATCTACGAAATTTGAATCAAAACCGGCAGCCTCCAGTTTAAAAGGAAGTGACACTCAAAAGTCGGGCAGATTGTCTTCCACAAGGCATGCCATCCCCTTGACAAATGTATCATCGATCAGATCCACAAGGAACCCCTGACCGGCAGGACTACCCTTAAGCAAAGCAATGCCGACCGGGTAGGGATCTTCGTGCTACGCCAGATGCTCCCCGATAAGTCGAGGAAGAAACTGTTTGGCTACGGCCCACAGAGCTTCCCGGAACGCAGTGGGCTGCTGGAACTAACTCGGCTGAACCAGCGACTTTAATCTTGGAATTGTCAGCTTCGTAAGCAAGGGTTGCCCCATCGGCCCCCGCTCGACGTAAAGTCACGTCGGCATGTTCAACAGCTGCCAACTGCGCACGGGATATGCACAACTCATCCTCGTGCTTCCCGAGTTTCTCCTTCACGGAAGCATTCTCTTGGGCCAAAACGTCCGCACTGTCCGCCTTCTCCTGAAGTCAAGCGGCCCAACTCCTGCCATAGTGCCATTCTTCATCGGATCATCAGCCTCCGCTTTAAGTTTGGCCAGGGCACGACCTTGTCGCTCATAGGCCCCTCGGGCCATATTAAAATAAAGGGAAAATGGTCAGATAGGCCTTCGAACTTACATAAAAAGGTCAAATAAGCCTTTATATAGGAGGCTCTGTCCGGACGTCAACATTTGGGGCGGTTCCCGGTGGAATTGTTTGATGAAATTTTTTGAGCATCTTATTCATTAAGTCTAGTTTACTAATACCAAATTACAGCTATAAATTCAATCTGGAAGGCATTCAAATGAATTCTTGAAGATAACTGCGCAGTTAAAAGCGCAGTCATCTTCAAGAATTCATTTGAATGCCTTCCCGATTGAATTGTTAGCTGAAATTTGGCATGATTAAACTAGACTAAATGAATAAGATGCTCAAAAAATCTCCTAAAAAATTCCACAGGGAACTGCCCCAAATAACGACGTCCGGACAGAGTCTCAAATAAGGGCTTATTTGACCTTTTTATGTAAGTTCGAGGACCTATTTGACCCTTTTCCCTAAAATAAATGGCGGCCTTGTTCAGATAACTAAGGTCACCCTTGAGAAGATCCTCGGGCTCCTCGTACGCCTCAAAGTCAAAAGGCACCTTCCGGCCAAGGCTGCACCAAATGGAAGAGTCCGTCTGGCCGAACAGCATCCTAGACTCGGTGCAAGGCCCGACCCCGGAAAATTTAATAAGGCCTAAAGTGATATTGTTGAGCTCTGTGGAGGATGGACGAAGACCTGCGTCCTGACCAGAGGGGATGGCTGCCTCCTTGTCTGATTCGTCCACCACAATGCTGGATTTAGAGGCGCCCTCAAGGCATGGCCTTTTCGGCGAACGCTCGGCCTCAGTATCCCATTAGGCTCAGGAGCGGGAGGCAAGACGACCCTCTTTGTCAATGGACTTTTCCTTCCCTTTGTCAAGATGACCGGGGGCTCGGTGAATGTTGCTGCGACCCATGAATGGAAGGTTGGTATAAACACCTGCACGAGTGAAGTACGATCAGAGCCACATAAAAAACAAATGAAGAATCACACAAACAATCAAGGCCCAAAACCCGAATTGTGGGGGGGCGTACCTAACCCGATCGACTTGCAACATGTGGGTATCCACCACAAGCAGTCTCAGATTTTGCGTCCCCAATCCAGCAATGCGACCGGCGATCTCCAGCTCGGCGTTACTCAAGTTTGACCGGGTAAGAATTCCACCAGTCAGAGAATGGTAACGGGGAGCCCATTTCGGCGAAGAAGAATCTCTCTTCCCAGACGTCTGGATTGGGACCGTTGTAGGAGAATAAAACCCTCCATATGCACGGCCGAGCAGATGGCGCATAAGATGTCGAATGACCCGAGCATCCCAACCCCACAGGGAGGGAACAGTAGGCCGATCGCCCTAATGTCGCGAGGAAGCAGACACTAACGTTGACGACGAACATTTTCAAAATTAAGAGAATATCGGGAGGGCCGATCAAGCATCCATCGCTCATAGAATCTCAAGTCATCTTCGGAGAGGAAACCATCATCCACAGGATCCTCCAAACGCGCAGGGATGGAAGATGAGCTGCTTCGTGTATTACGGGCGAGCTCTAGCGTAGAAGGTTTGGCAAGGGCCGAATAACTAACCGGGGGTTACTAGACATGATGAAGTAGTGAAAGTCGGGCTGGATGACTAACTGGGAATGGATAGAGAGAGAAACTAAATCAGCAGAGTAATGGCACAAATGGGAAAGCATGACTACCTTCTCAAAGCCGGCCAGGAGTACTTATAAACGTCACCGCCGGGTCTAAGGGGGACACAGGTGGCCAACCAACTGATTTTCTGCCAGCCTGACGACGGTCGACGAGCGTCTCTTAGGAAATGAAGCAACCACAAACGACAAACGACGTGAGAGACTTGGTGCAGAGACGTACGCCACTGATCTAAAGTATCAACAATACTTCTCTAAGGGGGATGCGTGGATGACCGCGATGATGATGAGCAGCATCCTCCACGTGTGTGCATTCCGCACGTCCTAAATATGTCTCAGAAGCGACGTTTTTCATGTTACATTATTAATGAAAAGCTTATTTGGTGTTTCTGTTACCTATCAATATGTACATTATATTTGATATCACTCAATAACATGTGTATGTGTATTATATCTTTAGTAACATATACGATACAAGTGTATAATTAACATATATGATACCAGTGTATCACTAACTTATATGATACCTGTGTATCACTAACTTTTATGATACCAAAGAGTCGTTAAAACTTTCGATATAAATATATCACTACATTTTATGATACTATAGTATCATTATTTACTGACACTTTTGCAGTGACACTAATTTTAGTGTCACAATTCCCACCATTCGTTTACACTTTGTAAGTTTCACTAAAACTTTTAGTGACACTAATTTGATGTCACTATAGACCAATTTTTTTAGTAGTGCTCGTAGTTTAGAAGAGAGAGATATCATTAGAATTTTGTACTTTATTATATATTGTGTGAAATGGTAGACATACACGATGGTAAAGATGGAATTGATAAATATATATCACATGATGGCCGGATAATTAAAAATTAGTTTGTCATTTCTCATGCACATGAATCGTTATGTATTTATATATTGGGTGAGGTTTTATTATATATATCATATGTTATTTTACCATCTTATATTTTACATATAACATACACACTCAATTGAAGATACTAGTATAAATACTTTAATGTGTATAGGGGACGGGCATACGTGGTTAACCGAGAATCGGTTAATTAAGATTCCGGTTACAATATATTCAATGCAATTTTCATATCATTGGTTAACCAAATATCGATTAACCAAAATTTCATTTAACCACTAACCATTAACCAAAAAAAACTACCAACTTGAATTAGTAAACATATCCCTGAAAAGTAATAACAAATTTTTAAATCTTCACTTCATCCTATGAGAATATGGAAAATAATGCCACATCGAACATGACTATTTTTTAATTTACAATTTTGCTTGGGGTACACAAAGTGTACACAAGTTGTACAAAAATATATATACCTTCTTTTTTTACCACTTCACTTTTATCTTTTACCCATTTCCCTCTCTCCTTCTTAGTCACTCCCTCCCCTCGTTCCTTTCCCTACCAGTGCTCACCTTGTTCCCTTCTTCCTCATTTCTTTCTTTTTTTAATTTTCAATCCTTCTCCCATGTAACATTAAATCATTTTCAATCTTTCTCCACATGTAGAATGTTATTGTAGAATATTATTTCAGCTATTTTTCATGTATTGATTAAAGTTATTATAGAATGTTATTTCAGCTATTTTTTCATATTATTTCTTTATTCTTATTTATAAAATATATTCAAAATAAGGACAATAATTTTTTCATAATTCAGTCAATTCAACCACTTCAATCAGAATATCAAATACTATCCTCCATTTTTTTTAATCGCAACATGTTGACTTTTTGCACTGTTCATATGGTCTACTTTGACTACATTTTACACTATTATTTTATGATTTTTTTTAAAAAAAATATTTTATAATTCATTTCATTACAAATTTTCAATGTAAGGAATAAATGTAATTAGATTTTGATGATGCTAGGTTAATTAGAATTTGGAAGTACCCCTATAGAAATTTTGTATTAGAAAATTCTTTGTAAGTATTAGCATAGTCGACATGCCAGAAACCCTCTTGGTCCTCTTGATCAGAACTTCTACCAGAGTTGCTCCCAGAGTTGCTCTCCAGAGAAGCTACCAGAGTTGGGTACCAGAGTTGGCATCAGATGCAAACATCAGAGTTCGGACCAGAAAGCCTCATCAGACTTGCTCTTACTTAGCAGAATTCGAAGGCACTTTCCAACGGCCGTGAAACTAACAGGAAATTCCCTAACGGCTAGGAGCCATTCGACGGAAACATGGTACTGTACACGCATTAAATGCTCAATTAATGTTGTACGTACGAAGATATATTTAAAACTGATGATTGACCATGCGGGTATCTTTTCGCCCCCAAAATAGCAAGTCGAAGGTCCAACCGGTCAAATCAACAGTACAAGCATTTAATGAAGCTGTCTTCTACACTCCAACGAGAAGACTGCTCCCAATAAATAAGATACTCTTCGAAGAACTACATGATAACTTTTCTCTCTTCATCTTGCAAAAACAACATCTTCAACATCCAAGCCTTCTTGAGATTTCAACTTTATTCACTTCAACAAGAAAGTCTTACGTTGGAAAGATATCAATTTCTTATCCTCTCACCCAACAAAAGAAAAGTTCCTCCAGTTCTTCAACACTTCGAAAGCCTCACTTATACATCCTTTGTGAAGAAGCTACGTTGGAGAAAACCATTCTTAAAACAAATACTTCTTGAAACAGAAGGGACGTCTCGAACTAACTGGAGTAAGTGAAGTGGAGATACTTCCAAGAGACTCAGTGAAACGAGACCAGCCATCAGGAAGCAGGACTGCATCCCGGGTGGCAACTAGGCTTGAAGAAGACGAGGAGTGCTTCTTAAGTGCTAGGGACTAAGGCGTTGTAACTGTTAACTTACAAGCTTAGTGGAACAGTGGACTAGAGGAACACGTTGTTCCTTGAACCACTATAAAAGTCCTTGGTGTCATTTACTTTACGCACTTTCTTTCTGATCTTTAGACTTTCACTGCATAACTCAAAAGGTTGGACTCTGTGTCCAACAGATCTTCCTTGAGAGTTATCAGAAAGGCATTTGCCTTAGTGTTTTTCTGAGGCTACCCGGACAGAAACCAATCTGCTGCCAGGTCCAGCTCTGCCATCAGAACTTGACCTTCTCTGTCATTAGATTTCGACCGTCTCTGATAAGTCAGTATTGACTTAGAGAAAAGTGAAGAAAAATCCTGAACAGTCTATTCACCCCCCTCTAGACTGTTCCTAATATAAATGGGACCAGCAAGTGGTATCAGAGACTCCTCGTTCTTGTAATCTTTTAGGTTACTTGCTGAACAGAGATCCACTTGTTTTAGCCTTTTTAATCTCTTATTATGGATAACACTTTGTCAAAGAATTTGATGTTCTCAGTTACCAAGTTTGATGACTGGAAGATACGCATGAAAGCCCATCTCTGCGCACTACACGATGAAATGTGGGAAGTCCTAGATGCAGGTCCTTTCACTGAGTTCCCCAAAGTAAATCCTGAGTATTCTGCTGGCAGTGGTCAACCCCAAATGATCACTAAGCTTCACCATGAGTGGTTTAATGAAGAAAGAAGGAAGTACAATCTTGATAACATAGCCAAGGACATTTTGTACAAGGTCATTGATGACAAATACTTCACAAGGATCAAGAAGTGCACATATGCCAAAGCTATCTGGGATACTCTTACCCCGATAGGAGCTGGTGATGAGCAGGAGAAAGACAACAAGCTCACAATTGCCATGAATAAGTTTGAAGACTTCAAACTTCTCCCCAAGGAATGCATAGCTGAGATGTATGCACGCCTGCTCACCCTTACTGCTGAGATTTCAGAACTTGGGAAGGAACTGACTCCCAAGGAAGTCAACTTGAAGGTTCTCAGAGGTCTACCTTCACCCTGGAAGATGAAGATTACTGCCATGAGAGACAACAAAGATCTCAGGACCTACAGTACTGAGAAACTCATCACTGATCTCAAATCTTATGAGTTCGAGATGAATGAAGAAGAGAAAGAAGACGTTGAGGACAGAACAACTACTGCCCTCACAGACAGCACCTCACAAGTAAATAACTTTGACCCTTCCTTACTTTTAACTGACGAATATATGGCTGCCTTTGCCAGGAAGTTCAGGAAATTCATGAAGCCCAAGGATGACAGAAGTCCATCCTCTAGCAGAAAGCCATTCCAGAAATCCAAACCATCAGAAAGTAGTGGAGAGCTTCTCTGCTACAACTGCAGACAACCTGAGCACTTCAAGGCCAACTGTCCACACCCAATAGTCTCCAAAAGGAAAGGTCAAGAAGGAGAGAAGAAGTATGAGCACAGAAGGAGAAAAGCACTCATCACAGAGCAACCAGAGAAGGACCCCCTCTCTGAGACAGAGTCCAGCTCAGAATCAGAGTCCGATGAGGCATTTTGTTGCCTGGATACAGAAACTGAAGACTTATGTCTTATGGGTCAATCTGATAATGAGGTAACCTCTACTTCTTCATCTAGTTTCTCCTCGCTAGGCAAAGCTTTTGATTCTGGTTCAATGTCAGAATTTTGGGAAGAGTTTCAAGCCATCCAAGCCACTTATTCCTCTGTCAAAGAAGAAAATAGTAAGCTTAAGGTTGAAATTCTTGACTTAAGAAAGGAGGTTGAAACCAAGATCAATCTTCTGATTAAGGAGAGAGATCAGCTGGAAGCTGAAAATGCTTCTCTTCTCAAGAGAATAAGAGAAATAGAGCCTCTTGAGATTAAGTACAAAGCTTACCAGAAGGCCCAGTCTTCCATGGAAAAGATTGTACTTGATCAACAAATTGGTGTTGGTTTTGGTCTTGGCTATGGCTCAACAAAATCAGGTGAGCCTTCCATAATTAGGGGTGAGCATAACCCTCATTTACCCGTCTGGGTCGGTTGACCCGAACCCGAAAATCCGAACCGAATATGCCCAGCCCAATATTTAAGGGAATGGGTTACGGGTAGGTTTTAGAAATTGGCTACCCGACCCGCCCGAAAAGCCCGAATAGCCCTAGATATATATACTAAACATTTAACCCTAACCCTAACCCTACCACTTCACTCTTCACTCGTAACCGGAAACTCCCTCTGACCCTCTCCTCTACTCCGACCTCTCTCTAACCCATCCTCTCATCTGTTGTTTCTGGTCATCCCTGTCTACTCTCTCTCGTCCATCCACATGTAGTTTGTACGTTTATGCCTCTCTGCCTTGGTGGAAGCCGATCATAGCCTACCAGTGTTACGAAGCAGTATCTAGATCACTATTGTGGGCTTGTCTTGTGGATTTGTGGAAGCTTCCAACTTGTTCGATTATCTTAATTCTTACTGAGGTAGTGAGGTATAATCGTTAAATACTGAAATTGTATGCTTTGTTTGCTTGGATAAACAATTTATTGCATGTTCCGATCTCTAATATTGGCTTTGAAATGGCTTTTGGTGGAAGCCTGGTCCCTAATTGTGATGTGTTATCATTTTTGTATATGACTTACATGTGTTAT